GGAAGACACCTTGTACGTCCTGCACTTCAAAGACAACGTGTATAGGCGGGTGTCGTTATCAGATTTTAAAGAGCCTGAATGGTTAGTCAACTTAACCCTCACCTCACCTTATATCTCCTTGAAACAAAATAATACTATCTCCGAGATTAGGAACAACGGTATGATTATAGGATCGTTCGTTCCGGAATCTAGTGTACAAGTCATACCAATACCAGACCACTCGGGTAACATGTTAGCTTTCAGTGGGAAGGTGAAGACAGAGATCAAATTACTCGAAGGCCAAGAGGTCTTTAGAAATGTCGCGGAAAACTTCACATTCCTCATAGACGTCTATCTCGGAGATATAGGTTTGACTAGTAATTATATTTACATTATAGAGGATATGGTGATAGGTTGGCAAGACAGGTGTAATAACCAACGTTGTTGTATTATTAAGGTATCGGGAAACAAACCTTTAGCAAGCCTTGATGGGGTTCGTCTCCTTAATGGACGAGCTAAGACCCCGCTTTTACACGCCGCGTTAATCTAAGTATTGTCGGCTTTAAGTACATTAATCAAAGGTTAAATGAAACCCAATTAAAATATATTATGGGATTGAGCTATATCCCTGAACTAGTACCAGAACACTAGTTGGAAATTATATCATAATAGTATTATAACAATGTCTTGGCTTCACCCCAACACTACGCTTAACGATCTAGGGGACACGGATGGGTTCGATCAGCCTGGTGAGGAAGACACCTTATACATCCTGCACTTCAAAGACAACGTGTATAGACGGGTGTCGTTATCAGATTTTAAAGAGCCTAAATGGATAGTCAACTTAACCCTCACCTCACCTTATATCTCTTTTCGTAGTGGTGGGTCTATCACTAGGGATATCACCGAAATTAAGAACAGTGGTATCTTGCTCGGGGGGTTTCAACCTCAGGGTTCTCAACCTATAAGAGTTTCCTGAATCCCAGGCCATATGGAATACATGTTAGATACACCCGGGATTGGAGCAGAGTTAACACCCACTGACCCACTATCTAATATATCTATACGTCCAGGCTCCACATTAATCATAAAACGATGATGTGTCTCCAATATGGGGTATTTTACGTGGGGTTATAATAGACTTATCTATTGGTTCATTTAATGGCCACCATTGTAGTATCGTCATACGGCGGGACTCGGTCCACGGAGGGTTGCTGCCCCCCTTAATAAACCCCTCTATACTTCGTATAGAACAAAAGTTACCTATTGAATTTCCCTATATTACCCTAACCAAGAACATAGGCCTTATAAACCTCAGGTACGTTGACCAACTATTAACTGATACCCAATTAAAATATCTTTTGTAATATATATTATAGGATGGGACTGTACCCAGGCATAGATGAAGTAGCGAAGACCCTGGAAACCGTAGACGGGTTCCGCTTGAACAAGACCGCGATAAGCGGAAAGCACTATATAAGAAGTACCATAGAGCTTTCAATGCCGTGGACGGGACCGATACTACCCTTATGGCAGCCAGCATGGGCCTAGGGGTGGCAGGTGTTAGGTTGTTAGCTACCATCGTGGCCGCACCTATAGTGATGGGGCTCGAAATAACAGCTGGGGTGACAGGGGTGTTGGGGTTGGGGCTTAAGCTTGTATCCCGCAGACTGCATCGTAAAGCATTGAAACACGACGAAATCAGGGTTCTGGCCGAAGCAAAGCTGAACACGGTGAGTGAGCGTATTTCCACGGCACTCACTGACAGTAAGATCTCAGAGGAGGAATTTCGTTCAATCCTCTCTGAACTCACAAAATATGACAAAATGAAACAAGAGATTCGATCCAAGTCTCGTAAGTCTGCTATCAGCGATGACGAAAAAAAAAAAGTACATAGAACAGGGGGATACAAAAAGCCCGGCAAGCTTTTATTACGAACACCAAAGAGATCATAGGCGATTCACATTAAACTGTTTCATCGAGGCCAACGTGACATAGCGGCACGTGGAAATAGATAAAACGAACCTACCTTGTACTACTTGAGGGATGGACCAGGCAGACAGTAAGATCTCAGAGGAGGAATTTCGTTCAATCCTCTCTGAACTCACAAAATATGACAAAATGAAACAAGAGATTCGATCCAAGTCTTGTAAGTCTGCTATCAGCGAGGACGAGAAAAAAAAGTACATAGAACAGGGGATACAAAAAGCCCGGCAAGCCTTTATTACGAACACCAAAGAGATCATAGGCGATTCACATTAAACTGTTTCATCGAGGCCAACGTGACATAGCGGCACGTGGACATAGATAAAACGAACCTACCTTGTACTACTTGAGGGATGGACCAGGCAGACAGGAATTATTGATTCCAGACAACGCGTGTCACGTGATGCGTGGGTGCGCATGATCTACCCGTTAAACTGACCTACTTCAGCTAAGTCCGCGGTAGCTCAGTCGGTTGAGTGGTGCGACCCATTATGTATAGTCTGCGCAAGCTGTGTATGTGGGTTCGTATCCCGCCGTTGTCTCTGCAACTTTGTGTGATGTGAGAGAAAGGCAGCCGGCACAATTCCCCTTGGGAGGAAGCGCAATACATTTCTATTTCTCCCTTTGGGAATTGTGGCTGCCGGGGACATTTTGCTTGAAATTTTTATAGGTTGGGAAAGCAGTAGGGGTAATGGTAGCAAGAGCTAAGGGTCCGACCAAAGCCTTATTTGTGAAATAAGGCTTTGCAGAGGCTTTGGTTGGAACTGGTCCAGGACAATCATTACCTCTACTACTACGTATTATCCTTGAGCTGTTGTTAGTTCAGGAGGTCCCATGTTTGCTTATCTGCAACTACAAAATCAATTAATCATAGAGCTGTAGGAACGGTTTACAGAAACTTGGTATTTCCTTATGATGCATACAAATGTTGCCCGCCTGGGATCGTAGAAAGTGCATGTCTAAAATCAATTAAGATATAAATATGGATGAAGATATGTGGGCTACAAATCACGATGTTGAATATATTCAGGTAAATTGTTCTCCTCTACAGAAGATGGCAGTGAGACTTTGGTCTAGACAGAGTACACGTGAGGGAAATGTACGTCAAACCACAGTATCTTTGTGTTGGGATATTGTAGTGTCCTATCCTCCATGGCAAGATAAGGTAAGGGAGACTCACATTATCTGCATAATACGTCCAGCTTATGTTCTATACATGTTATGACTATACATGTTCACATAAACCCAACGTTTAAACATCATCTTTGTATAATTTAACAGTTTATTCATAATTTCAATACAACATTCACAATAACATTGGCAGGTATAGTTTTGTGCAAGAAGCATATAAAGTGAAATAACAAACATACACTTAAAAATATTCATTCTCGAGGCAACTCATGATCAAATACAGATAAATACCCCATAAAACGTGAAAGGCCGCTTACATTTGCCCACACAACACTGCTTTAGCCTTTTGATAAGCTGTCGGTGTATCCTTAGGCAAGAGAGAATATCCCAGTACTCATCATTCGTTGTGTCTTGGTGATGAAATCAGAAACAGCTGCTTCATGAGCTGAACCCGTCGTGTTTCTCGTTTCATTGAATGACCGTACATAAACAAGAGTCATCAGAAGATGACATATCCCCCCGGCCCCCACATCTTTGAAAGAACAAATCATCTGATAGTTACTTCAAGTCCAGCTTGATTTTAGACTAAGTGCAAATCGTTTCCATGGAAATCATGAAAAAAATAAATGACAAAAATCTGGAAATAGCAAAAGGCACCACTTCAAGATCTGCCTCATATATCTGCCAAATTTTGCTGAAAGATATTAAGAAGTTTTCGCGTTGTGCTCCAGAAACAAAACCTACCCCTCCCTTTTGAGACTAAGTCTGAATCGTTTCCATGGAAACCGAGAAAATAATAAATCACAAAAATCTGCAAACACCACTTCAGGTTCTGTTTGATATATCTACCAAGTCTTGTTAAAAAATATTGAACGGTTCTTGAGTTATGCTCCAGAAACGAAGCCCACCGCTCACTTTTGGGACTAAGCGAGAAAAATAAAAATGCCAAAAATCTGAAATTGCAAAAGGCACCACTTAAGGTTTTGTTTGATATATCTACCAAGTTTTGTTGAAAAATATTGAACGGTTCTTGAGTTATGCTCCAGAAACGAAGACGACCCCTCACTTTTGGGACTAAGTCCGAGTCGTTTCCATGGAAACCGGGAAAAATAAAAATGCCCAAAATCTGCAAATAGCAAAAGGCACCACTTAAGGTTCTGTTTGATATATCTACCAAGTCTTGTTGAAAAATATTGAACGTTTTTGAGTTATGCTCCGGAAACGAAGCCCACCCCTCTTTAAGACTAAGTCCAAAACGTCTCCATGGAAACCGAGAAAAATAAAAATGACAATAATCTGTAAATAGCAAAAGGCACCACCTTAGGTTATGTTTGACATATCTACCAATTTTTGCTGAAAAATATCGAACGGTGTTTGAGTTATGCTCCGGAAACAAACTGATTACGGACGGACGGACGGACGGACATACGGACAGACGGACGAGGCGACGACTATATCCCACCGCATTACATGCCGGTGGGATAAAAAGGAGTAAGGATTTGCACCTTCTTTGCAATAGGGATATAAGGACAAGAGACAGCCGGAGTGTCTCCATGCATATAAAGTACTCATGTTGGTTATATACTACCCATCAAAAGTTTAGACTCACTTAAAGCAGTCACTGTGTGTTATGTATATATGTATGGTTACATCGAAGATGAATTTCTCCACTAATTTCGGGGAACCAACTGCAAACCTTATGCTGATGAATTGCACGAGGATCATGCATCAAGTTGCTGAAAAGCATGTGCAAATATCGTGCATGTGATCAGCTGCGTTTTGGTGTAAAGTTTTGTATCTTTTTTCACGGAGTTTCATCATTTATTGAACTCATGACAATACTCTTTTCAACATTACGAATTTGTTTTACAATACATCAGTTCATGTATAAACAGTACCTTTAAACAGTATGGAATATTTTACAAAATCTAGTTTAGAACAGTTGACTGAAGTAAACGGCTACATTTACACAAGGGTGTCTAAACTTGTGATGGGTAGTATAATTCCGGGTTAACGAACAAATGATTTTACCACTTGGCTAACCTAAACGCTCTTGGCATACAGAAGCCCACATCAACTGATTCTTCAGGTTAAATGCATATATTTTGATTGTTCTCTCTTCATGGTTCAGAAGACAAAAATATAATCATTACTATAATCAATACAGTCTGTTGTACAAGCAACACACTTGACAGCAGCCTGTAAATCTTCAAATCATCATCCAACAGCCTCCACTTGGTTGTCCAACATGTTGCGTTATCACATTGGTTTCATGAGCCTGATTTGAGGTGAAAGAGTAGGTTGTCATCTCTTCTGACAGGGCACACCCTGAAGACTAGGAGTAAGATCATGTCAACCAAGCCCCATCACCTGGGGTGATAGTATTTGGAAGCCAGTGATTATCCCCAGAACCATTTGGTCCATACCAACTTATGATTTTCGTAAAAGGCTAATGAACTTATCTTGTGACGTGACGTGGTTGATGGCGGCTGTCAAAAACAGAGTGAGTGAGTTTGGTTTTACATCGCTTTTACCATTATTCCAGCAATTTCACAACAATTTCATGGCGGGGAACACCAGAAATGGGCTTCACACATTGAACCCATGTGGGGAATCGAACCCGGGTCTTCAGCATGAGGAGCGAACGCTTTACCCACTAGGCTACCCCACCGCCTCTTTTGAATAAGATAACACTGGCCTGCATTAATTTGTGTTTCCTGTCTCAGACAGACACGGCTTCCGTTGTATTTCATGTGTATCACAACACTGAACAAATTGTTATAAACAATTTTACCCACTGCTATTAACATAAATCAGGTATTAATACGTTTGTTTCCTCGGTCGCACGCTTTAACCACTACGCTACCCCACCGCCCGTCAAGAACAGAGATTGTAGGCGGTTTATAAGCTATGTAAAATTAAAATCAGTCTGAAAGTTGGAACCACTGATCTGTGCAGTTTCCAACAACGACCAACCTTCCTTATTTGTGGCTACAGACGTCCATGATATGCACTTAGGCCTGTCTTTCTTCACTAAGATATGTAGTCATCTAACCCTACAACAGTGTTATGAAGACCAAACTGTGGTCCGTGGTGCCCAGTCGTCATATAATACATGAAATGTAGAACCGATGAGAATTACCTAAACATAATTCCCAAATTTTCAAAAGCACGACAGTCTGAATAGGTTAACTGAAAAATGATATCAGCTGACAAAGACCAAGGTCACACATTTTTTGTAGATCATAAGGTGTCAACACGTCAGTGGCATCTCCCCAAAACGAATGTTCCCCTTGAAAAAGGTGTAGTGAGGCGCACAAAATCAATTAGCACCTTTACATAGATCGTGTAACTGACTCAACAAATAGAATCAGGTTTAGGCAGTCATTGCAGCCTACTAGTGGTAGAGTATGACAACCACAGTCAAACATCACTTTGTCGAACTTGAAGAGATCTACGTAATTACTTTGACTTATCCGCGGTTTAACACAGATATATGAAATAGTGACTACGAACAAGCTGAAGGGGCCAAGTTTTCACTTTGAGACAATTGTTACTTGAGTAGGTATAAAACATCAAGATCTGACATAACAGGGTTTGACTGTACCAGTATCCATGATGATATTCACTGCCATTTCAAGGGTCCATGATTCGAGTTCACCCGCATGGAGTTAGTGCTGAACAGTTTAAAGCCAAACCATGTAACCAAAATATTAACACAAGCATAATACAAATAAACTTACAACAATAATTTCTTTAACAAAACAAACAATGTATATTAACTAATGTACATCATAAATATAATCAAAGGCTTTAGCTGAGCTTACCAGACAGATAGAACTGCCATACATCAAAACCATTCATCGTTGTCCTTTGAATAGCATTCTGATCAGTGATGTACAATACGTGAGCTAAGAATGATCCACCATGCATGTCAGGTACAAGTGCAACTTTTTTATGTCTAAAAATAACACCACTGAAATGTGTGTCCGTATGGCATGTGCCAGATGATATTTTTGACAAGTGTTCAAAATACTGTACTGCTATGATGTCATTTGCACAGAAAATACAATCTATTCATCAACCCTAAGAGAATCTGATACAGAATAAACAAAATAATGATGATCGAGCAGGCCAAATCTGTCAATGTGCCATTCCCTAATAACCCAGTTTCTATAATACATATTGGTTAGGATATTGCCGTTGTGGTTTGACACAATGTTCACTGGCTCCTTGATGTCTTTCAGGGTTTGTACTGACGCTATTATCTACTTTGAATGAACACAGGATCAGTCATATAGTACCTCAGAATCAGTTGTATAGCACCACAGCATCAGAGCATTGCACTTCTGTATCAGTTGTACTGTACCTCAGGATCAGCCATATAGTACCTCATCCGTTGAAATATCCTTATTTACACATTTTGGAGCAGTGTGAGCATGTACATTTGTGTGTATGAGAGAAGAGTGTGTGTGGTGAGTGCTTACATGTGCGTGCGGGTGTGTGTGAACAAATGTTTCTGAAAGAGTTTTCCAAGGGCACAGTTTCCTTACAAACAGGTTCTAGATAATGAAATAAAAACCACTCCATAGTAGAGTTGACGCAGTCAAACAAAGGACCAAGTTATCAAATGAAGGGTCAAGGAATCAAATGAAGGTCAAAATGAGTGAGAGAGTGGGTGAGTGAGTCTAGTTTCATGCCACTTTTAGCAATATTCCAGCAATATCATGGAGGGGACACCAGAAATGGGCTTCACACATTGTACCCATGTGGGGAATTGAACCCGGTCTTTGGCGTGATGGGTGAACACTTTAACCACTAGGCTACTCCACCGCCATGAAGGTCAAAGGACCAAATGAAGGACCAAGGTATCAAATGCAGAACCAAGGTATCACAAACAAAGGATCAAGGTATCAAATGCAGGACCAAGGTATCACAAACAAAGGATCAAGGTATCAAATGCAGAACCAAAGTATCACAAAGAAAGGATCAGGGTATCAAATGCAGGACCAAGGTATCAAAGGAAGGAAAAAGGTTGAATGCAGGGCTAAAGAACCAAATGAAGGATGAAGGTATTAAATAAAGGGACTATGGACCAAATACAGATACCAAACAATGGTGCTGGAAGACTAAATTGAGTAATGTCTGATTTTCATTCCTTGTTACAAGCCAGGTTATCTCTTGAACATAACCTGTACCTTAGTTTCCTGAAGTACATGTCATCTACAAGGTAGGAAACTAGCGGACAATCAGATGGCATAATCGGTGAAATCCTGCATCACAATGACCAACAAATTCTGTTCACAATTACTGGTGGACGTAAATGATGATGCTGAGGGGATCAGTCCTCCTCCTCCTCCCACACACTGTAGTCCTGGGACACGGCAAGGTCGCCCATCAACATGCCCATGTGTTCCTCATACACCACTACTCTCAGCTGCTTCTTGCTGTCGGGCGGCACCTGGAACATGGGGCCGTGGCCTGGCACGATGTAGTCAGCTTGGCGGAGCACAGCAATCCGGCTCTGTTCCTGCTGTTCCGGCTGCTCACTGTTCTCCTGCCACAGGTGCGGCTGGTCCAGGTCCTCGAACCTTTCAAACAGATCTCCTGCCAACATAAGGTGTTAGTTTGTCAACTGGGAGACATTGCATTGTTGTTTGGTTGCTCAAGAGAGGTCACATGCTAGTCGAAAGAAGTATATTGATAAGAAATGCAAGCTAAATTCTCAACTCTGTTTCAGGAGTATAATTTTGAAAAGTGATTTAAGAAACTGATTCTTTCAAAAAATGTGGTTTCTGATACTTCAGCGGTAGTAAAACTTTTCTCAAAAAAAAGCAGAGCTGTGTGTTAATATCAATTGTGACTGCTTTTTCTCAATGTTTCACCAAGTAAGAGTTATGTGAACTGTACACATGTACACATAAATGAAGGGGACTGCTGCCAGAGAGACTCAGTAAAGTACAGTAACACAGCACAATGTTCAGTCTATGTTATGTGCTGCTATACAGACGATACACACCATCTTTCTGTAGCAGGGCATGGAGATGATATCCTTACCTTGTCAGCTTGCTGACTGGGTTAACCTCTTTGGTCATGTGGACAAGGTGTCCGACTTGGGGTCAGAAGGTGGTCCGTGGTTCGAATCCCAGCACAGGACATTTTATGACCGCTACAGTTCAATGACTCACCTGTCACAGCCACAGTTCCCAGAGCTGTGTTCTTCACGATCACCGACACGTCAGAGCCGGTGTGGCCGGGGGTTGGGACGACCTCCACATGCTCATCTATTTCATAGGGAATGCCCTGAAACATGCCAATCACTCACTCACCATCACCTGGTCAAATGAAACTGATTTTCTACAATGAAATGTGAAAAGGTACACTGTAACACCTTCATTCTCTGTTGTGAACAGCAAACAATTTAATGATATTTTCTTGATTAACAAAACACATGTTAAAGAGAGAGTTCAAGTCATTGAGCTGTCATTCACATCAAGACTATCAATGGAGCATGGAATTCCATAAATAATTCCCCATGTAAGATTAACAATTCACATGTGGCATTCAATAATAGCCACTGATGTTAACATGGTAATCTTTCTTTGTTTATCATGATGTTCATCAGTGATAAGTTCTTCAGTTATATTTATTTCCAGTAATGAAAGGCCACAGGCCTGTAGTACAATGCATTTATAAATCAATATTTACACGCACAGATAATATACATGAAGAAGGGAAAATAGAAGTTACCAGAACAAAGCAATGAATCCCCACATGCAATTAATAACAGTTTAAAGGAAAAAATGATCATGCTAAAAGTAAGCAACTTGAAAATATCCAGTCAAAACATAAGAAGAAACATTTCTGTTAACTAGTGATATGAACTTATAACAAATACCAAATGCCACATATTAACCATTTTGATTATCCAGTGCATACATTCTCCATTCTGTTATGATCATGACCTTCCACCAACAATGGGGCAGGGACCCTTTCAAAATTACTTGAGATCATTTACAAAACTTAGGTCACACACTGAATGATAATATAAAACTGAAACTCAATCGACAGATTATTAATGCAGAATAACATCCACAATTTAAGTCTGTGGTACATAGGATGTTCCACATGGCATATTTCTCAGCACATCTAAACAGCCCATTTGTGACTTTTTGACTGGCATTTCAGAAGCTGGGAAGGACAATATAGACAAACTTTAAGGATACTAACATCTTTACTTTGTGAGTAGAACGTTTCGATGCAGATTCTTGTACCATCATTTTGATGCAGAAACCTGCTTGACAATAGAACAAGAATCTATATCGAAATGTCGAACTCACAACATATAGAAGTTGTTATCCATAAAGTTTGTCTATATAGCCCATTTGTGGTCATTGCTGTCAGCATGTTTCTTCTCAGGTGCTTGATGAGAACTGGAATTATCACATGATTTATACAAACTGTCATTTCGAAATATCTTTTTTAGGCTGTAACCACTGACAGTTATGCAGCCACGTTTTGTTGAGAATTCCTACATTCCCCGAACTTTCACTCAGTCCTTCACCACCTGAAAAGATCAGGGTTAGAATTGGTCTTCAGTAACCCATGCTTGTCATAAGAGGCAACTAACGGGATCGGGTGGTCAGACTCGCTGATTTGGTTGACACATGTCATCAGAATGGAGATGCGACCCACTGGACAATACAGGATGCAAATCGGTGATACATGTAAATCGGAGATACCTGCTGGAAGTCATGCATGATGTACTCATCACCAACACACATGTCGTACGACACTATGTGGATTGCTGTGGTGAAGAGATTCAAGTTTCCCACGTGATCCGAGTGTCCGTGTGTACACACACAATATTCAATCTTTTCTGGAGTCAAACCATTCTTACGTAAGCCTGAAAACAACATGCTGTTGTTAGTGTAGGTGACAGCCAATCACATCACTGGATAAACATGTTACCATACAGAGAAGACAAAGGCATGTTGCATGAAGAAATGAAACAGGAGGTTATAACCTCAACCCCAATGTTCAATCTCAGCACAAGTGTGGTTAAAAAGACACTTGACATCAAAGTGGCTTGTGCTAATGCAGACTTTTTAATTCAAACTGCAAGACATGTTTTATTGGATACTTGGAAAAAGTGACTGAAGTGCACATAAAATCATTTTGTGCTATGACTAGTGTTGGGAATTGGTTAAAATCTCATAATTGATGATCGGTTCATAACAACCAATCAATCATCGAAAATAATTGGTTAGCGTCATTTATGAAATTTGTTAATGCACATAAAAATAAGGAAAAAAACATGTAGTTCTTTTGGGTCTTTTTGGCAAAATTTCACATCTTTAAAGGATGACTAGTATGTTAGGAACATAACTATCTTGGAGCCTTTAAGATAAATTCAATCATGACTTGGAAAGAGCTTGTAGTGCTTACAAAATGTAACAGACAAAACCAACCGTGTGAAAACTATTGTTAATGAAAACAAGTGTTCCAAAATTGGTTGTGTTTGATTATGAGAAAATATGATCGATTGCTTTGTCGTTTAGTCACTATGACCAATCTTTGATTATTTCAATTAATCGGACCACCACTAGCTATGACCGTCTTTTGAGGGCTTCATTGATTCCTGCTACTGTTGTTTACAATCACAAAATGAAACACACACGATTACCACGAATGTACAAAGCTACTGTTAGTTAATGTAATGAACAACAATGACACAAAATGTTTAAAAACAAGCACAATATGCCCATATTAATTCCAACACAGAGATATGGAAATTGACAAATAGCTGTTGAAGTTGACTAGAGGTGTGACGAAACAGACATTTCACGATATGGAATTCGATACGATCTCGAATTACGATATGCTATCTTTAGTTATTTTCTTTAAAAATGTGTATTTTGATAGCAAGAAACAGTGTAAATTTTGACATAACCGTCAATTTCTAGTGAAAATTCACAATTTTAAGGTCAACGTTACATATCACGATACGAAAAAAAAGTATCAATATATTTATTGTCAGATAAAGTATCACAATTATCGATACTACGATATATCGTCACAGCTCTAAAGTTGACCGATTTTCACTGAAATCTATGAACAATTTAGGCAAGAGATTATATATATTTGAGAATACTGTAGGGCCTCACATTCTATAGATCCAGATGCTAAAGGAGAGCTATTCATATTTGACCTCATAACATGCTGCCTACTTGTGAAGAGCCTGTGAGGGATGCTAGGAGCTGACCTCAAGGGCTCCAGGAGATTGTTCTAATTACTGATGGGGTAAACCAGCAACAACTTCGAACTGTCTTCCGTCAGTAGTTAAACACTTGACTCCAACTGTCTGTCCATAAGCATGTTCAAAAAATGTTTCCCATACAAAAACTTTGTACTGAAATGAAATACATTCACATATAAATGATGGTATACTTTCTGTGGACCTCTGGAATGATGACATGCTCTCAGCCAGGCCATATGTTGTGATGTCTGTTTTTCCATTCTAGACAGCTTCATGACAGCCATGCAGGAATGTGGACAAGGTTCTGACTAGACACAGGTTGAATCAAAACCATATAAACAACGGTGACCTGACTAGACACAGGTTGAATCAGAACCATATAAACAACGGTGACCTGACTAGACACAGGTTGAATCTGAACCATATAAACAACGGTGACCTGACTAGACACAGGTTGAATATGAACCATTTAAACAACGGTGACCTGACTAGACACAGGTTGAATCAGAACCATTTAAACATGACGTGACTAGACTACAAGTTGAATTGAATCAAATCCATTTATTAATAACGAACCATATAAACAACAGTGACCTGACTAGACACAGGTTGAATCTGAACCATTTAAACAACGGTGACCTGACTAGACACAGGTTGAATCTGAACCATATAAACAACGGTGACCTGACTAGACACAGGTTGAATCAGAACCATTTAAACAACGGTGACCTGACTAGACACAGGTTGAATCTGAACCATTTAAACAACGGTGACCTGACTCCATTTACAATAACGACATTGACAGGTTGAATCAACCATTTACACAACGAACCATTTAAACAACAGTGACCTGACTAGACACAGGTTGAATCTGAACCATTTAAACAACGGTGACTAATCCAGGATTAGTGGAGATTTATCGGAATGTATACCCTGGAGATTATCGAGGATAGTGATGGAAATCACGAATCATGAAGCATACCGACTCCAGCATCAACACCTTGCCTCCCCATGTTATTCCCATCGATGTTAGGGTAAGCTCACTGTTTTTAATATCGAGACACATTAACATCAAAGCAGTTCACAGAAAATGTTAGTAGACAGGACAAGAAACCATCCAACAAAGCTGTGGGATGCAGTCTAGTTTTAAACAAGTTTACCTCTCCAAACTGATGGAGGAGAAAACGGTCCTTGACAGACACGTCGTACGACACGATGTGCAGTGCCCCAGGGAACAGGTTCAAGTTGCCTACTTTGTCCGTGTGGCCGTTGGTACACACAACATACTCAATGTGCTCCGGCAACAGGCTGTGCTCATGTAGGCCTGGCAGAACAAGATGCATGAAAAACCCAGGCCATGGATTTCACCTGACAGGTTATATCATACAATATTCTCTCTTTCTGTAAGCTACCATCAACGCTTGCTTTTAAATTCAGTCCAGCAACTCAGTCTGATCTCACTTTAGCCAAAACCAAAACATTCTGTGGTATCATGACGACAAATCTATGTTAATATCCAGCATTAATGTAAGAGATTGAAATTCTAAAAGAAAGTTTGCATTAATTTTCAGGATGAAATTGCTATGTCTTACAGAAATTTGGTAATTTCAAAAGCCAAATGTTGATAATTTCACTGCAGTAATTTTGAAAATTTCATAGAATTTTCGATAATGTAACTGCAGGCTTTTGATCATTTCATGCCAGACCTTTGATCAATTTACATCACAATGCTGATAATTACACAGGAGATCAAACCTACTTGGTTGTATTGACCACGTCATTACCTTGTTCACATCTACATGTTGCTAACATTTTGACTTCTTGTTCCTGGTTCAATCGCCCATGTGTGGTATATCAACAGCCCCAGACACAATTATTAGACAACTGCCAAGGTTAATGATTGTCTCCCTTTAAGATGTGGAAATTATCTCCCTTGAAAAAAGAAACCCCCCATCACCAATTATTAACAATTAACAGTCATCAGCAACTAGTATGTCTTTCTCATTGCTGCCTCCAAAGTATCTCACCATATTTAGTATGTAGTCTTCAGGCAACTGCGCAATAATATAGCGTATATTCTGAGAACATGTTGAAATAAACATGGAAAATGATGCATCTTGTATGAACAGAACATAGAGATCACATCCATGTGTCCTCACCTTCAATGATAAGGTCCTTGTCCCAGGGATTCCCTGTATCCACGAGGATGGTGTGTGCTCCTCGCAGAAGTGTGATGCTGCCACATGCCTTCTGGTGGCCTGGCAACAAAATAACTCATGAGACTGTTGCCAAGCAACAAATTTATATATATATCAACAATCAAAACATTAAATACTTAAAAGAATGAAGTCCTTATCATTTTTCTAATGTTATAAGTTATAGGCCCAGGTGTAAAATGTATTCAAGCACTTTTATCATCATGTTTTATTGCTTTATCAAGATCTGTGAACAGTCACCCCAATGTCATTAAAAATCACTCATGGGGAATTTCTTATTTGCTTACAATGAACTTTTTTCTACGTTGAAATAGACAAAGTACAATCCAACTTTTATCCATGATCGCGGACGTATTTCAGACCTACAGTCCTTGAACTGACCTGGTCCATCTTTGACACTGTATCCTTCCTTGAGAACGATCACCTCATACATCATGCAGTTGTCATAGCAACCAGGGAACAAACTGAAACATTTCAAAACACAACATGAATACACACAGAGCACTTTATCTATTTGTTACATATTGTCAATGGTGACAGAGGTGTGTGTGTGAGTGAGTGAATACCCTTAGTAATAATAGTAATATTTGAAATGCATGAAGACTGGGCTGTTTGTATGGATATTGTTTCAGTAAATATCTATACTTCCCATCAAAAGTTTAGACTCACTAGTGTAAATATAGCCACTTACTTCTGGCAACTGTTTTAAACTAAATTTTGCAAAATATTCCATACTGCTTAAAGGTACTGATTACACATGAACTGATGTATTGTAAAACAAATTTGTAACACTGAAAAGATTATTGTTATGAGTTCAATAAATGTTAAAAGCAGTGAAAATTGGCAAATTCTTAAGCAAACTTGACATCAAAATGTAACTGTTCACATGCATGATATTTGCACATGCTTTTCAGCAATTTGATGTATGAGCCTTGAGCAATTCATCTGCACAAGATTTGCAGTTGGTTCCCCAAGTTAGTGGAGAAATCAATCTTTGATGTAACCATATATATATACATAACATATAGTGAGTGCATTAAGCGAGTCTAAACTTTTGATGGGAAGTATAGATATTTACTGAAACAATATGTTAGCTGTCCATACAAACAGTAGCCCAGTCCGGCCATGCCTCAGTCATGAGGCCTGCAAATCGATTTTAGCAGCTAATGAGCCCTTGTGGGGGTCATTCTCACTTACCCAGCACCTTCTGTTTTAGGGTCCCAGTTCACAAGGGTTGAACAGTATTTGCACAAGCAAGCAAGCATAACTGTTAATCCCTAAAGTTGCTGGGTGAAGGAGAAGACCCCTTGTTGGCAGCAATGTAAGACAACTTCAGAAGCCTGAGATTAGTGCCCCTTTATGATAATCCCAGCTTCACAGAATAATCATACTACAGTGTACTTCTGTCAATACCGCACCAGTCGGGGACCAAATTAAAATGCCGGTTTTGACAGAGTGCCGGTTTAGCTAGGGTTCGCTTTATGACGCCTTGCGCACACGGAAGTTCGCTCGCATTGTCACTTTAGCATTAACAAGATGTTTGAATAAGAAACAAGGCAGTGTCTTAATGCACATTCATGTTGTTGAAATCATGAGGAAATCATTAAATAAACTGAAATCAACAATAACATTCATAAAAATTGTCAAACGTACATATAAAATTACTATTTCCATACTTTTGTGCGATCATGCAATGTAAGTCAAGTCACTGACAAATTACATCTCGGCTTTCACCGCCTCGCCTTGACGCCTCGGATAATGATGCTTAATGCGAAAATATATGCATGAAGCATTTTTTTGTCATAGGCCATAACCTAGCACGATATGTCCAATACGTTCCATAATTTACTTATAGGTAGCGATGTCTTTCTTAATATGTTCAGAATAGCATTATTTTACCCAAAACCTTTCGTCTTAATCTAAAAATTTTCGTTTACGAGGACGGTATCCATTTCCATAATATGATTGGCTGCTTAGGTCACGTGTCTGATTTTGACCAATCAATACCCTGATAAGCAGAGTGTAGTGGAAAAAGCATCGTTAGAAACCAATCTTTATCCAATAAAATCGCTTCTTACAAATGTGAAAATACTCTCGGCAAGAGTACAGTGATATTGTTGATGTTCAGAGCTTTAACGATACCAACCATCAAACGATTCGCCTTCTATGTAAGTGACTCGTGCCACTCACTAATTAACAAGAAACTGATTGACACTTCCCGCTTCTGAATAATCTCGAGTCAATACCCTCGCTGAATCAACAAAATATAAACACTTGATTGTTTATACGGTCAAACTGCCCATTACATGTATTGATTACTCAGGGTAAGTGTTACGCACCACTCACTGATTAACAAGATACTAATTAACACTTCCCGCTTCTGAATAATCTCGAGTCACAGCTTAATTGTGTTGTTACATCATTTGGACCTAACTGCATCAAAGGGTTGAGGCGCCTTCATGTGCCGGTTTTACAGATTCATTTTCATAACAACTTGTTCGTTGGGACTGAAAACAATGCCGATATCCTGAATAGACAGATGCCGGCGTTTACAGAAGTTTCTAAATGATAATAACGTGCATTTCTGCCGGACTGAAACTTTGTGCCGATGTAGACAGAGTGCCGGTGTTTACAGAGGCCGGTATTGACAGAGTCCACTGTATAGCCATCATACTAGAGCCACTATAGGATATGGTCACCGCCCAACCCTGACCCTGACAGCTGCAATTCTAAAAGTATTGGCAATGGTATAAGAATACATGTGTTTTAGTATTACACTTAAAATGACTTAGAGGAAAGGATTATTGCTAAACAAGCTAAAAATAGTTACAAAATAAGGTGGCTTAACGATACTATGATCGCAATCACATTGTTTTCAAGGATATTTCAATATCAACAAAATGTCAATCTGTAGCCAATGTAGGAATCATGTAATCATCAATGCACTGGACCAGGTGGTCTGGACAGGTTGGGAAACCTACCGACCGCCAATAAAAGTGCTGAACAGGATATTATAGGCCGCTCTGCCTATTTTACTATAGGCCGATCGGGCTATATTTGACCATTATTATTATTATTTCACAAACTATCAATTTTAGCAATCTAAAATGGTTTTATATGATCATTGAGATGAATAGTTAATGGACCTCCTCAGCTTGAACAAAATAAGTTTTGGACAAAATGGAAATAAATTTCATGTTCAGGAAAAGATGTTTCATTAAGAACACAATTTTGCACAGATTTTCATTTTGAAAGCTAAAACTGAAATTCTATGTTATTAATTTTCAGTGAAAATTGTCAAAATTATTATAGACTTATATTTAATTAGCTATTTCCAAACTCCTTTATTATATGATGAAAATTCTCAAAAAGGGTTTGCATGAAAACCTTAGGACATCAAAACTTGAATGATGTTAATATCCTCATCTTGAGCGAAATGCACCACTTTAAATTTATTTTGATAAATATCATAATTAAAGGCCAATCAGCCTATAGCAAAGTAGGCGAACGGCCCATTATATCCCGCTTGGCCTATTGGGCGTCGTTAGGTTTCCCCAACCTGCTGGACTTTGGGCCAGACACTGTTAGTTATAGACCCGCTCCATGGCTGGAATAATGGTGAGTGCAGCGTAAAATACAAACAGACACTAAAACAAACTGAGACATTGAGAGAGTAAGTGGTAACAATAACAGTAGGGACCGCATCCGCCGCTTAGGGGCTAGTGTCGCTATTTTTAGAATTGCTGGACGATTTTGGGCTACGGACAGGCCGACGTTTAAGGTCCAAATACACATATTTGGACTAATGCGTATGTATGATGTATGCGCGATGTTCCTTGATGGTATTGCGTTGTACACATGTTCCGTCGCGCCAGATTTTGCAAAACTAACATCTGGCAATGAAAGATGAAGAAACGACGGTAACTTGAACTTTGCTCTTTTTTAAACGTATGTCAAATATTGTAAAAAGATTTATTTTCTTGAAGTATGGGCAAATACGCTCAATATAATTATTAATGTACACGCACAAAAAGTTTGGTATTTTTAGGAAGTATATAACTTACTGAAATGAGACCTTAAACTTTTCTTGTGTCATTGCCGCGAATCAGCATACCTCGGTCATTTAGAGTTATCTGCCCTTGATATTAAGCGGGAAAGTAGATGCAGATATTCAGCTATATTTTCACAGCGAAAGTTTTTTTGTTTTTTTTTATAAATAACGCCTTTGTTTATCAAGTTTCCTGGATTCTCCTGATCATAGAACATTGTTAGTGTTGTGGTAATCATATTTGAGCAAGTTACTCTGAACTGAAGTAGAAATTAACAGGAATTTCTCACTCTTGTTTTGTTTACAAATTACAATTTAGTAACCATGGTAACCTGAGTATGATTTTTTCAAACTATACGCATGTAAACAATCCCCGTCTCTTAGCAAAGACAAGGCTCATTACATGTTCATTTTAGTGTGTCAAAATAGTGCATAACATTTCACAAATTATTAATGATCCTTCCATCATACATTCATTCTGGTTTTCAATAACTATAAAAGTCAGCTTTAAGTGAACACAGTAAAAAACAACATTATCATACACGCAAGTGTTACATTGGTGGATCCAGAGGGGGAGTTCACCCCCCCCCCAACATTTTGAAAGAGGAGTCTGTATGTGAACACCCAAACCCACACCCCTCTCCTTTCAAAATTCAGGGGGGGGCTGAACTCCCCCTCTGGATCTGCCAATGTAACACTTGCGTGTATGATAATGGGTTTTTATACTGTTATGACTTAAAGGTCACGAGCAACCAACAAATCAAACATAATTAAAACACAATTATCACTTTATTCATGACATATAATATACATTGCTGGTTATGAAAAACATATAAACAAAATTATAAGCCGCACAACGCAGATCAAAAGTGCAATATTGTGTACTTGGGTTTACTTCCCCAGAAACGAAGCAGCCGGATACAGAACCCAGTCAGAGCGGGTGGGTGTGCACTCAAGTGTAATAATAATAATAATAAGTGTTTTGTATAGCGCACAAATCAAACTGCAAGGCAATTTCTCTAGGCTTAAAAAGATAGAGTGATCTGAAGAAAGGATTAAAGTTCATAAGCTTGTTTAAAAAGGAAAGTTTTCAGTTGGGACTGGAAAGATTCCACGGACGCGGCTTGTCGGATGTGAAGAGGCAGTGAGTTCCAGAAAAGGGGAGCTGTGTAAGAGAACTGTCTATGTCCATATGACTTTAATCTGACCTTGGGGACATTCAACTGACAATTAGAACTTGATCTTAAAAGCCGTGGTGGGACATATTCACTGAGGAGATCTTTCAGATAGATTGGAGCTTTGTCATGGAGGCACTTGAAAGCAAGAGTGAGGATTTTATATTCTATTCTCTGTTTCAGGGGCAGCCAATGTAAGCGTGATCAGCAATGGTGTAATGTGACTGCGCTTGTTGACTCG